TATTTTGGGCTACAGACTAGTCAAGCCGCCTTTCGGCAGCTTATTTTTCGTTGTCCTACATCAGTGAGATTGTACAAGATGGAAATAAAATTTGAATTAGAATTTGAAATATTAATATTATTGTTAATATTATTATTGCTGTTACTGCTTCCATTGCTGTTGTTGTTGTTGTTGTTGTTGTTGTCGTCGTCGTCATCGTCATCTTCTTCGTCGTCGTAGTCGTCGTCGTCGTAGTCGTTGTTGTTGTTGTTGTTGTTGTTGTTGTTGTTGTTCTTGTTGTTGTTGTTGTTGTTGTTGTTGTTGTGTTGTTGTTGTTGTTGTTGTTGTTGTTGTTGTTGTTGTTGTTGTTGTTGTTGTTGTTGTTGTTGTTGTTGTTGTTGTTGTTGTTGTTGTTGTTGTTGTTGTTGTTGTTGTTGTTGTTGTTGTTGTTGTTGTTGTTGTCGTCGTCGTCGTCGTCGTCGTCGTCGTCGTTAAACATTAAAGCAAAAGTCAGCTGTCATCCTGTTTTATGCATTTGTAGTCATCTTCAGTTCAAACTGATGAAATTCGAGCTTCCCGATGCTTAGAAAAAGGACTTATTTATAATGAACCACACTCCGCTTCAATTGGATGCTGCTTCATTGCGTGAATCGAAGTCACAACAATTCGTAGTCTTTTTATCCAATCCTTTTTTTTTCAACCAACTGCTCCTTGCGCGGATGTTTACGAAGAAGTTTGATTCCAGTAGGTACCTATGTTGAATGGCTCACATGACGACAGTTTCACCGGGCACAATCAAAAAATACACGATCCTGCCTCCTCCGGCCTTTTTTTTCTTATCAACGTTTAAGGCTGACTAGTACCCCACCTCGCCTTCGGAACATTTCGTCGTAACCATTACGTAGCGCTGTAGGTATCGTTGGTCGAGGTACGTGGTGCTGTCCACTCACTCTCTTCACAAGTAATCCATCCGGGTCCTGTCCAGCAGTCTAAGTTCAACGTTGATTCTCGTGCGGACTCATATTTTATTGGAAAGACGGCAAGGTTCTGTTTTCCGGGGTTCTACTTTCTTCTAACTGTGGAAGACTAACCTGCCGCGTGGGTAACGTAAACGAGATGTCGTCTACAGGATGAAGCGTTTCTTATCGGGTATTTTGCTGAATTGATTCCTCGGTGTTTTTTTTTTGTGCTAGATGACAATACGTGCGTGTCAAGACATCCTACCAGTTCCTGGGCTTTTACACCGAAAGCTGGTATGGGATCAGAACACGGGTCGCGGGTGCGCCGTAGTTGTCCGCCGCCGTCACCACCGGTGTCCGTAATTACTATTGCATGACATAACAAAAAACTCAGTAAATAAAAACACCAATGGCACAATGAAATTCAAACCTGGGTCCCCTGCGTGCCAGCCCAGTTCTCTACCACTGAGCGAAGCCGGCACTTGGGACTTCTTTGCAAACTGGCCTCAGGAAGGCTTGATGTCGGGAAACAATAATGATCATTCGTTCGTTCGTTCATTCATTCATTCTTTCATTCTTTCATTATGGTCCTGCCCCTATGGTGATCTCGTCAATTTTACAAAATATTTACTGAACCGTCAACGCGTACTTGTGGTTAGGATGCTATCGTTTCACCCTTGTCCTTGATGCTAAGCGTTGTCGGTAGTCAATAAGTGAAATACTCTCTATCTGGCTCCTCACTTGGTAAATTCACAACTGAATACGTTGTCGTACTGGGCAAGGCGGTGAATACTTGAAAACTCAACAGGTCTCTAATGTAACTAACTTTGCAGATCCGCATTTGCCTGATGTACGGTGATGACGATGAAAACTCCATTTTCGCTACCTGTATTGTAATCCTTGTAAGCGTGATGCCGCAAACGTTGTCGAGAATATAACCATGACCAATAACTGTTGGTCTTGAACTGCTTGCATTTTCAACTAAGCTAATCATTAGTAGAAAAACTAACGTCAGCGTATGTATCATTATGTTTACTTCATTCCAGACAATTGAGCAGGCTTACTGGGGCCCTAAGTCAACTGACGAAAAACCTCGGGCGCACTGTGAAACTTCACTCAGTTCAGTGTGTGGCACATAATTACTACTCGTATTGTTACAAAAAACTATATTTGACATCAGCACCAAAAAAAGAATGTCGGAGCCTGGACCCAAATCACCTACATAGCGGGTGTCTTGTTACTCAATTTAAACTAATAATAAGAATTCTTCACATATTGCTTTACGACCAACACTCCGTAACTGTGGCACCAACTGGCTATCCTAATCCACCCTGCTTCTGCCTTCTCTTTTGCTAATAAACTGGGTTTCGATAAGGAAAACAAAACACTTCCATTAGCTTAAATGATGTGTCATTACCCTAAGGTAGCCTAAATAAAAACGAAATTAGATTCGCTTGTAGGGCTACGTTATCGGAGAGTCACGCATAGCAATGTAAATTTGAATGCTTACACGTTCGCTATAGCGGTAACAAAATATCATCTAACCAGCTGATGAAAATGTCGACGCCATATGCACCCAATGAGAATTCAATATCATTCACTTTTCCTATTGGCATTTCTGATAAGCTTGCTACTTCTGAAACGAGTGCTTCACTGCTTTCATTATTTTATAAACTCCTCTAAATTTCTATTGGCATATTTAAAATACAATAAACGTAAGCCCTATTTTACAATGACTGATTGTTTATATGTGAAACTACACCTCTTTTCTTCTAAATAGCTTAATGCTTGATTCAATCGCCTACCTGCCATAATCCTTTTTCTTGTTTTAAAGCACAAGCTGAGTCGTTCAAACAGAAACTGTGGTGCAGAACTTTTCAATGTGCACCAACTTTTCAGAATGGGTATCTCGAGTAGGGGTTGATACATCAGAAATATCAGCATGCTGAAATTAACTGCTGTCGACTTCCGAGAAGAAGTTACCAACTCAGAAGACCATGAGCGTTTGTCAGGACAGCTACAGGCTCAATTCTCAGCCATATTTAGGTTTTCTGTAAATTTTATTGTGTCTCATTAATCTTATCCTAGTTGTCATAGTTACTCATCTACACGGGCTTTTATATTTGGAAATGCAACTTGAGCCCCGCTCGACTCTTCAAGCATATGAGGAGTGGGAATGTTCAAGTGGCTTCCATCTTTATCAATCCAATAAAGATATCTATAAATTCAGTGCAATTCTATTCATTGCAATTCTGTAATATCCCGCGTTGACTTTGCGCTTGTGTAAAGCTGGTTCAAATATCACTTCCTTCTTTTCATCCTTGGATGCAATCGTCAGGTGTCAATAGATGGTTCATTTGCTCAAAAGCATACACTCATTGGTAGGTGACTTTAACATAGTGTGAATAAAGAAATGTGGTCTATATTTTTGTTGACAACATGTCGCACTCACCTGCTCACTGGCGTCCACACTGAGACATATTGATAAGCGAATACCCTGTCCTGCGAAGAGTGTTTCATTCTGGGCGTCATATGTGCACTATTATGTGCTTCAGTTGAAGTAGGTGATTTAAAAAGGTTAGCACACGAATTATATTACTTTTTATTCTAATCTATCAGCAAAGCCGAACATCAATCTTCGCTGGGCACGTCTTGATAGCTTAGATGAAGCATCTCGTCAGCAAATAACAATTTTCTAGGAAATTATACCCAAAGGTGTGCAGAGTTAAATAGCATTGTTATTTTAGCTGCAATTGTCTCCCTCTTTGGCCATTTTACTAACATGGCTGGTTTCCCTACGGGCGTCTCGCGCATCAAGTTGCGAGCCCAAAGGATGCTTAAAAGAGCGTGATGTACATGTAACTGACTGCGTGTGTGTGCGTGACCTGTGTTTTGTGTTATCTTTCTCTCCTTCCACGCTTTTCGCTCTCACTCTTTCAATCTCTTCCTTCCTGTTTCCACGTGTAGGGAAGCGAACCAGCTTTCTTCAAATGGTCCACGTCTAAGCCTTTCCTTCTGTACCATTTCATCTTTTGTGTTTTGCAGCTTTAACGACTAAGCAAACAGTGTAGCAGTAGGCGCACACGCACAAAAACGGTTGGGTTTTTGCATACAATGTTTCAAAGGCTGAAATCATTCACGTCTCAACATACAGGAACAAAAAAATGATTGGCTCACTAGCCCCAGATAATGATTCCCAAACGCCACTAAGGTTTCAAGAACCTTATAACAGTGCACGTAGCTAGGTTTTTTGTGTTGTCGGAGGTCGTTAATGAGGCATGCCTAGAAGAGGGCAATAGTGCAGCGACCAACGCCTTTAGATTCCGTCATTTGACATTGGGTAGATATATGCTTGAAGACAAGTCCATCAGACATATAGATTCTGCTCAAATATTTCTGTAATTAAATAGGAATGGTCAAATTTCAGAAAGGCTGCATTGAGAGCTCACTTGCCTCTTTAACGATAATAGTGTTCTTTATGTTGTTTACGCAAAGTGGGGTATCAACAACACTTGCCTGCACGCATCTTTTTTGTGACTATTTTAGCTTCTCTATGCAAGCTTTCGAACAAACCACTTGAGCGATAACGTTGGTAACCTGTTAAGTATTTCTGAAGCAGGAAGCCCGATACCCATTTTCGAAGCTGCTTTTTCTGAAAAGCAAGACTCCATAGTTATATACTGATTGCGCTGACGTTTTGCCTGTATTTCGCTCATACACGCTTAGTGTACTCCTATACTAGCCCTTCTAAGTACTGCCTGGCTACCCTGACAAGCAGAGTGGTCAAGTGGTGAAGAACGTGGAGAAGTACAAAACAAGATTTACACACACTAGTCCCGATACATGACTCGTATTTCGCTTTCACAGACTATTACACCAAAAATACTTGTTTAGATATTCTAAAATCCACTTAAAGCCATCAGCCTTGAATCACAGCATGTTAGAGTAATTAGAGTGCTCCTAAGGTGTCTCGAAAAGCGTCGATTAGCCTATAGTGTCCCATTTTTGGGGCATTATCGTCCAGGATGCAAAAGTAACCAGCATGATAGATTATCTAGTCAGTTCCTTTTCTCAACAGCAGACATTTATTGCTCTTCCAACAGCACGATTCACTAGTGGCTGTCACTTCCTTGCAGCTGGCAAGAACTCTGCCACGGCGTTTCCCAGTGCCTTCTGCATAGCCTTTGATGCGTCATCGACGGGATCACTGCGTTCAGCCTCAGCGTCAGAAGAATTCTGAGGGGCCGCTGCGAAGTTGGAAGTGACAGTGCTTGGATGAGCTTAAAGGATGTTACAGTACGTTTTATGTACGAGTGCCTATGTGTGTTTTAAATTACTTGTCTCATAAAGCATCTTACAGATTTCTGCCTATCAATCTATTGAATATATATTCGCTTCCAGTCAGCACAGTTGCCACTGTCGTTGCATGTTAAAAAAGATCATCCTATACAAACCTTCTCAAGGCGTGTTGCTTCAGGTCACATCAGAAAATTCGTCAGCATGAAACTGAATGAACATAATTGCACTAACTGAACTGGCTTTGATACCCTACAATTTTGTTCGTGTCAAACATTTAGCTCAAGGTTTGATGATGGAAAACCAAGTACGTGTAAATATTCTGACAATAAAAACGGTATATCATAGTTTAACAATAAAGTAAACGACCAGACACGAAGGCATGAAGGAACCAACGAGCTCTAACTTCAAGGCCTGGCCTGGCCTTCGTGTTCCTTCTTGTGTCCTTGTCTTTTGTGGTACTTGCTCGACCACGAATTCCTAAAAAAAACTAGCCTAAATATCAGTGCATATAAGAAAAGTATCTTTTAAGACATACGTACGCTTTTTTTTACTGAACATCCCATTCTTTTGTTGTCTGTTTATTCTATATTTTCATTCGTTGAATAAACAGACAGAATTAGCCAACACAGGCTACCAAGCTGCCCTTTCAACCCGGTAATTTCGCCGCATGCTTTGTGTTTGCTTTAAACAGTGCCCATATCTGAAAGACACTTTGGATGCAAATTGTCTTGAAGTTTAGACAAGATCATTTTCCACTACTTACTTGGTACTTTTTTGAAGTCTTTGTCCATATTATAACCCTCGCCGTCTAAAAGAGAAATGACACATATTTAAAGAAAGCCTTTCTCTGACTTCAGTGTCAAAATTCACTTACCGTATAATTCCTGATATTTCTCGAACTTATCGTTCACACATACCTGTGTGTGTAACGCCAACTCAAATTTGCATTTACTAATAATATGGTAATCCCATCAATCTTATTGTATAACCCATTACGAACTAGCATTCTCAGTTCAGTGGTAATGTGAACTTGGCTTCTAATGTACTCAAGCCTGTAACGCAAGTAGGTGTGGCAGGATATATTCATGAAAGAAAAACATAGTGTACTCGAGCTAAATTTGCAGCTTACAAAAACTTACGCAGTAGATTAACTATATAATGGTTTACACTAAGACAGAGTGCTTTCAGAACCTCATTTCTAGTGCATATTTAGGTGGCATATTTAGGAGTGCATATTTAGGTGGTAAGACATCTCAAAGTTGCAGTAATGAAGCGAAGTGTTATCGTTAGAACTACGAGCCTGAATATCATTCGATCAGTGCCAGTACATTTGTGTGATGGGCTGGGATTGTTGGAACGCACAAACCTCCTACGTCTCATTTCTTCAGCACTTGTTTTGTCTTAGCGTCCTATATAAACAAGTAGCCAAAATAAGTCAACCAGACGTTAATGTGTAAGGGCGGTGACTCTTACAAATTTGCTCAGAATTATGTGAACTGCATTTATGATTGCCGCAAATTGCCAGCAAAAATTACGTCTTTGGAAGTCTTGTGCATCAAGTCTCCGTTTTTCAGGCTGTTGACAATGCTGTTTTTTTTTTTGTGCCACCTTTTGGCATTAAGGCAATGTCGTGATAAATGAAGTTTGACATATTTAAAATCACTGTTTCCTCTAGCACTCGAGGTAAGTAGAAATTACAAGTCCAATAAAGCATTTTACGAGTAACAAAATAATCTTCGAAGCCATTTATAAGGAAATGAAATGACGCTTTCTATTCTTGAACAGTTTAAAACTAAATTCTTGTAGCAAAATATACCAATGTTAAACGATAAGTTGAACTTGTTTAGGCTTCTTTTTACTACATGCCCAAAAATTAAATGTTACCATCGATTGGTTTTACTTCGAACATGACGACAGACTGTTTTTCTGTCTCTGTTGTTTTTCCCCCTTGGACTCCATTGTGGGGATCTGCAAACAATAATCCAGATATAGGAACACATTCGCAAACTGAAAAGAGCAAAAGCCATACTCATTATTGGAAAACCACACCACAAACTCAAGGCCTGCCTGATGCTACCTTTATTTAGAACTTTGCTTAGAAAATGGTGCAAAAAGAAGTGTGCCTTATACAAGCGTTCTTGCAAGTGTTTTTTTTTCTTTTCTATTGCGGAAACAATGTAAAAACAATAGACGCGTCTCAGGCGAAAAAAGAACACAATATCAGACAAAACAAGAGATGGCGCAATGAATATGTCTTCTTTTGAGGGGAAAGGTGGAGGAACCAAGCATATTTTATACTACAGAAGTCAACATGCATGTCAAGCATGGTGAAAAAACGGCGTTATTTTTCGAGAGCTAACCATTCGGGCAACGTCGTCCACAAGATGTCGCATTTCTAATCACACCATTTGCTACGAGAAATTGAGAATTGCAATGAATATTAGCTGTAGCCAAAATGACGCGGCTCTGTCGATGTCATGAAATGTTAAATAAGGGATAAAACAGGAGTTTTGAAGGGCAGGCTAGTCGTTTCAAAAGGTGTCGTGCTGTATCAAAAGAGCTAGGAGAAAAAGTACTCATGTGTGAAATCCCTTTTTGTTAAATAAATTGATCATAATTTACAAAAAACGAGTAAATAAAGGTTCCGTAAATAAGAATAGTAGAAGGACCCATCACTCATTCTATTAAAGGGAAAATTGCCCGGCAACTCACGTTCGTCTTTTGTTTCATTAACGCAGCGAGTTTGTGTCAGAAATTAAAAAAAAACCTTACAAATTCGCAAGATTTGAGGTTCAGTTCAATACATATTTGTCATTCAGCTGTAATATAATCACTTGTATTTCATGAAAATTATGCCACTAGCTGGTTCTATGATGGACAATGTGGCCTTATAGCAGATAACCTAGTTTGCCTTTTAATTCTAACGCCTAATGAACCGTTGGAAGCTCAGAGGCAGATAGGCCAATTTATAAACTGATTAACTAATCGAATCGCGAAGTGCGGAGGTTACCCGCGGGCTGCAGGCGGTGCGCGGGTAATTACTCAGTGGCCGTCGGCATAAAGCCAAACCCGTCACTCCTTCCTTTATGACGACCTATCCAAAAGTTTACATGACAATCTTTACTTAAACGACTATTTTCACTTGTAATTTTTAATTGCAGCATTGCAGCATTCCTACTAGTAAGCGTGATCTCGAATCGTCCGGCCCCCAGCTGTGCCAGCTTGATGCAATTCGGCCCTCCGTCCCTAAAGCTTGCCCACTACTGCTAAAGCGTAGCGGTCTGAAACGCAAGGCCCGCATACCTCTTGGCAGCCGCCCTGAGCACATATTACTTTATAGCACATATAATTAATTTTCCTAGTAAATATGCCCGTGGTGAAACCCCCCCCCCCCCCGGTGAGGACACTTTCCTAATCGCCCCACAGGGCTATAATAAAGTTCATTGATTCGCTGTATGTGTTGAGTACATGCGCAAGGCAACTGATCGACAGCAACCAAAGTGACAAACATTTATAGACGTCAGCAGATATTCAACCCTTGGTTGTCGTTCATCAATGGCCTTCGCCATTTTTTCAGGCCGACAATACGAGATTTCATCGAACCCCTGGTGTAAGGTCCGGCCTGATGAGGTCCGATCACGAGCATGTTTTGAAGACCAATGTTTTTCCAGGGTTGCCACTAGTGCCTACTTTTCCGAAAGTTGGTGAATTTGAGTGACCCGTGGCGACCTAGAATTATGAATGGCGAGATGGCAAATTTTGGGCGATTTCCAGCTTAGGTCTCGAAAGAATTATGCGTTCTATACTCATTGTTTTCAAAACAGATGGGGGACATACTTTTCCTCCAGCTATTGTAGTTTGAGACACACCAGTAGACGGCACACTTCTCGTGCAGTTGAATGCTTGTGTCCCGTTTCTCTTGTGTGTCTCCACAATTCACCCAGATCTTGGAGGCACCAGCACTCTGGTGCGTATGCTAACAGCTTCCTAACAAGTTTTCGGAGGGTGAACTGCTACGCGTGCCACGAGGTGGTGGCTCTATAGTGAGTTTCTCAGGTGCTTTTAAAGCTTTAACTTTTTTTAACTAGACTTTTGGAGTGGAATTGCTTGATGACAGTTATGCTGTGTGTTCCGACCACAACATCAACTGTCCTGAATAGCTTGTCGACTTCTTCACTGCTGTAGTACCTCCTAACTTGGTATGTAGAATTTAAATTTGCGATTAAAGCACTTTTCTGGCTGGTCGAGAAATTGGGTTGTTTAGCAGCCTTCAGAAACTTCACAAACAGCGCTGAGACAAACGTGTAGCGTAGTAATCGCCGCAGATAAGGTGCGGGGCGGTATTTCGAGTTTCAACTGTTGTTTTGTAATTACCTTTTTCCGATTACCAGACACAAGATTTCCCCGCATTGAACTTCTCTAATCCTGCAGGAAGGCTACGCACGCCATCCTGTTCTTGTTGAAACGACTGCTTCGCCATGTATTTGCCACAACTAAAACCATCAGAAACATTTATTACGAGACGCTAGCTTTCAGAAACGCTGCTGGTGCATGCATGTACTTTCTATCTGCTCCGATGAAGCGGCTGATTTGACTAGCATTTAGAAACGTCCGATAATGGAGGGTGATATGAATGGTACTGTACTCCAGGGGCTATACATAATTCGCAATTTTTATACGTAGGCACACCAGAACTATGTCAAGTGATAACCTTTTGGGCGAAATTTAAAAAAAACAAATGGCAAGTTTTGAGGAGATTTTGTCAGTCGCTAACATAATTTTCTTCCAATATTAGTGGAAACCCTGCTCTTACGATACTTCGACGTGAAAACTTTGATATGTGTCTCTGTTTGTCCGTGTGTCTATCTTCGTGCTTCTGTCACTCGATTCAGACACCATAGTGAAAGTTTAACCCTTTGCTGAACGACCAGCCTTTTTTATCTGTAGCGGCCTTGATACTAGTTAACATATTCAATCACAAAGCAAATAATATGCGTATTTTTGCACAACATCCACTGGTGAGTATTATTTAGTCTGTTACTTCATTTTTAAAAGGCATACATATTTCATTTTAAAGCCCGCAGTGCTTATAGCGCTCACTGACAGTGCAACGCTATGAACGAAAAAAGCGGCTGTTTCCGACGCTTCTCTAAAGCTACATGGCACTGCACCCAATAGTAAAAACTCTGTTTCTTAAAATTACTTCTAGATGGCGTCTGTATTTCACCCATATATCACGCAGCGTCTACTCGCAGATCTTCATGCGCAGAATGTCAAATAAACGTTTTATTCGCTCCCTCTCTGACAAGAAGGCCAACGTCTTTTGAAGACCTTTGCCAGCGAAGCGCGAAGAATCACCGGCAATTTTTTTCCGCGGGCATTCCATGCGCTCACCTTGCGTTGACTGGTAATCATGGAATTAAAACTGTACACCTCTCAATTGGCATCCGCGTTTCAGTTGTTCGGAAATTGGTACCACTGTGAAGTATAATCTGCTTCAGAAAGCACCTAATTTCCTCCAGCCTCATCCGCATCCGGGACTGAGTTTCATGAAAGTGCCCCACTGACCGAAGTGCGCTCGACACCTCTGGTCTAGTGACTAAAAATTTTCATTATTTCAAATTTGTGTTCTAACAACATATGCGATTTATATTCAATCAAGCGCCCATTTGCGGCAATAGACAGTAGTGGTTTGACAGTTGCCGGCGAGGCACTCTGGGAAGCAACTAGCAGCTGCATTAACACTAATCATTCATGTCACTAGAAAAACGATTTTGAGGCAGGAACATCATCAGTCCAGATATCAAGAGCACATCAGGCAGCAGCCGCATCATAAGTACGTGCCGTGTTCAAGTCGAATCAGCTACCGACGACAATTTTTCACCTTTTTCAAGCCTCTCTCTTCATATACTCGTATTCGAAGGCAAAGAGACCTTTCACATTGAAAAAAATAACAGCTGTTGTGACCCTAGTGATGTCGGGAATTCAAAAGCACTTTGTATAGTTCCCGTAAGATCAACTCACCTGCTTTAGGAGAAATCTCGAATTTCTCTTTCTCCATCGTCTCCGATCCACGGATTGCATGGCCCACTATTTTTAATGAGCTGACGGCTGTGCAAGAAGAAAAAAAGAGCAGTAATGTCAATTTAGTTACACAGGGTACCGATTTCTTTTTACTATATCTATTCCTATAAGTACACATTCATAATAAACGTCGTGTACTTCATTCCATGTTGTTCAATTAGTTCTCTAAGGTTCACCCTTTGCTTCTGTAAACGGAGCTTTACCATTAAGGCAGACGTTTTGTCCTATGGGCATAGAATGCCCTTTTATGCCGCAGTACCGACGAATATCCAACTTTAATATTGACAAATAGCTCTCACCTTCGGGTATCTATCGACAGACGCAATAAACCCCTTGCGCATTTATATGCCTTATGCTACGTCTCCGAGAGTGGAATACACCACAACATGAAAACAGCGAAACGTCTAACGCATGAGTAAAGGTAAACACGGCTGTCTTGCTTTTAGGTGGCGGTATCTTGGTTAATGTATTAACTATAGTAGAGCTACTTCACCTTGCCGAAATGGAGCTCTATAAGTGAAGCCACGGTCAAGTCCTGCGCAACGCTACTCCAGTCCAATAAAAAAGAACAACTTTTGTTCGAGAACAATTCACTCCAAGAAGTTTTGTGTACACTGCTATACTACTTGGTCGCAGCCGCACGTTTCCCACAATTCCGATGTGACGCCTGGAAAACAAGCGTCTATATCGCTTTGTTTTAGAAACCCATGTCACCCGCATCGTCACTTTTTTTAAGCTTAAAGGAGAATAATGATGATTGATATGTGGGGTTTAACGTCCCACAACCAAGTAGCTCTACCATGGTAATGATTATGAGATACGCCGTAGTAGAGGGCTCCGGAAATTTTGACCACCTGGAGTTCATTAACGTGCACCAAAATCTGAGCTCACGGGCCTACCACATTTCTGCCTCAATCGGAAATGCAGCCGCTGCAGCCGGGATTCGATCCCACGACCTGCGGGTCAGCAGGCGAGTACCTTAGCCACTAGACTACCGCAGCGGCACTTAAAGCTGAATATTTTCACAAAATGCGAATAGAAATTATTGATGGCAATCGATTTTGAAATGCTCTTGCCCTGAGGCATAGAGGAACGAATTTTTTCCCCTGACAAACCTACTTACCATGCAGCGCCGAGATGCAGAATACTCCTACCAGAAGGCCTGTAGACACCATCTTCACCGAGAATTTCGAAGCTACGCTCCAGCAGCTTGTCCACGTCACTTAAATACGCTCGCCCGACCAGTTCTGGCTGGCCCACCTGAAGCTGCAAGTGGTTTCGCATGCTGTGCCCGCATATCTTTGGGCTAGTTTTTTCTACGGATGCGTCTGTTTCCACTGTCAGTCATATATGCGCGTCCCAAGGGTCGCGCAGACATTCGTGAAAGGCAGCAGGCTGTTTCGCCGATCAATGAACCCAAGGGCCCGCAGTATTACGCTGCGAGCGCAAATCGCAAGCTGTTACGAAAATTCGCGTAACAAAAAGAGTTGTGTAGTTATGTCTATGTATCACTTCAAAAACACTCGTGACTACTTATAAAGGTGAAACTAATATAAAATTACTATCAAACGTACCTCTATTTATTTCATAAAAGATATGGCACGTTTTTTTCAAAAACATGCACGAGTGTGTTATTTCAGTCGCAGTTGTATGCCTTAATCACCGACAGAAAATGTACTGGTGCACACATGGCTACGCATCTTAGAGGCTGTTTAAAGTTTTATTCGAAGTAGCGAAATACGGTATACTTTTCACGGCATTTTTATGCTGCAATGCAGTCAACCTTTGAGGCACCTGTGCCATGGCCATCACGGTCAGCATCTCGTTAGCCACTGCCATAGTTTTCTAGCAAAATGAATGACAGTAGTCTTGCAACAACTGTTTTTACATTGTTATGTGAACTTCACCCCCTGACTTGAGATTGCTTGAAGTCAGTCTTTGCACAACTCTTCACTGTTCATTCACCAAAATGTCATTAAAAAGAGTGATGCAAAATAAGAAACGTGAACAGTGCGGTGAGTTGTTTTCGTCACGCTCGAGTTCTGACTCTAGTGGCACTGAAAAAATGACAAAAGGGTCCCCAATTGTATCAAGGCTGATTGTAGTGGCTTTGTTATTACCGTCCATAATATAACTCTGTGAAAAGAAACGCCAAACGCATAAAATTCAATTTACGTTACTTTCAATCAATGCAATGAGCAATACAAGGGCGACTGCTACAATCTAACTTGCGCACTGCTATGTTAGGCTTGTCAGACCGGCAGAACATTATAAGAAAAAGCTTTAGACGATGATGAGAAATTATACCTGGAGTGGGTATGCGCCATACTTCATAGGGGAACAAGAACAAGCTTTTGTAATAGGTTGGAGCAATGGACGGCCCACTCGTTACACTATTCGCATAGTGTGACAACTGGTTGTTCTTTCGCTGTTTTAAAACGCTTTATAAGCTGTGTTAACGTAATTGCCTTTCCAACATCAAGCCTGCCTGAGGCAAGTTTGCCAACACATCACACGCACCAGCGTAGCTCGGTGGTAGAATACTGGACTGGTACCAGCAGACGTGGGTCGAGCCCCACTGTGTCTTTCCTGCTAGGTTTTTTTTTTTTTTTTCAAATTTCGCGCGATGTGGTTATGGACACCGGCGATGGTGGCAGCGGCGGTGGCGGACAACTGCGCGTGACCCGAGTTGTGATCTCACAACAGCTTTCGCTGTAATCGCCATCCCCATCCGTATTTAAACAGACAACAAGCGCGAGATCGACGTCGAGTACAAACCAACACGTACTATTCCTCATAAAAAAGACACCGCATAAATCCCACAATACACATAAGCCCTTAGTGTGAACCACGGCCAACTTTCGCCCACATTACGGGAAAGAGTGGATCGCGCCCCCTGAACATCGATTCTAGCCTATTGAGGGGAACATTTCGAAGGAGGCAGTGAGACCTGGCTTGCTAGCAAGAATCCGAAAAACCAGCTGGCTTTGGTCGATCAAGCCCAGCGATCTACAAGAAACAGTGGAGCCCTGGACTCAGGATCAGATCTAGCAAAGAAACCTTTTGAGAAGTATGAAGAAAGTTGTTTTATCAACGTCGAATTCGCAGCGCTTGGGTTTCAGTGCATGCGGGAAGCTTTAAGTAGAGTACACGCAGTAAGATGTTTGTCAAGGATTCTCGCAGCCAATCAGAAAGTAAGGAATTGCGCCATGTGGCATTACAAAACCACACACACCTTATTTCGTTCAATATTGACGCGACAGCGTTAAAGATATCTTTTCGTCGAAATTACAGCGTCGGCGTCAATGTCGGTGTCGCCGTCGCCATCGGCATCGCTGGTTGTGAGCGAAAAATCATGGTATATGCGTGACCGAGTAATCGGGTACGACGCAAATAAAACAAACGATAAAAAAACCATAAGCCAGAGTGGTGACCGAACAAGGGTTCTTTGCGTCCGAGTGGGGATCGAACTCAGGTCATTTGCCTGAAAAGCGGGTGTTCTATCTCACAGCCACGCGTTTTTTTTTCTCTTTATGGCTGGTCTTGCACCAACATAAAAAAACATATTTACAGGAAAACACAAAGCATAATAAAGAAATTTGGTAAAAATACCACTCATTGCGACGATTATGGCTATGTTAAAATGTTTTACAGACAATGATAATTCCACAAGTGGCAACCATTGTTGCATGCATTCTCGCAAATTCTGTATCGCTAAGAAATAATCTCTTATTGTTTCTTTAAAATACTGGCTAGGCGACCTTGCTTCCTCCTCCAAGTGTCTTACAGCCATTCTCGATTTTCGAATGCTCTGTGGAGCTAAAAGCATTATCATGTCATAAGGCGTACCGTCATCACTTTGTATTGTCTATAAGCGGATCCCATGGTCATCTAGCTGAAAATCTGTTTTGATCGTGCACTGAAGCACATCAAGTAGAAAGACCGCATGCCCACATTGCAGGAATACATGCTGAACGGTCTCGCCCTTTTTGTTTGTTATACAGAGTGTTCCCAAGGAAAAAAAAACAGTTTCAGCCATTGAAGACTTGACTGTCAGCATACAAGCGTGCACCTTAAAAAACAAATTCCTGATACCTGGTGGTAATGGCTTGGCGTTAACGCCTTTCAATGCGTTGTCACTATGACCTACTCGGTAAAGATACCGATGCAAAGGCATCGGTAGAGACACATCGATGAGATGCTCACACTGTTTTTATTGCGATAGTAAATATATGGACACTCTCAGCTGGATTTTGCCGCCAAGTCACCATCGCCGTCATTCACCGAATGTGTATATGTGTATATATATATATATATATATATATATATATATATATATATATATATATATATATATATATATATATATATATATATATATATATATATATATATATATATATATATATATATATATATATATATATATATATATATATATATATATATAATGAAACGCAAATGATAAAAAAAATATTCAGAAGAAGACTCCGGCACGCGAAATCGGACGTGGGACCTCTGAATCGCGAGTGGGAGGCGTTAAAAACTGAGCCACGAAGGAGCACCTGCTTGAAGGTTCAAAGGGCAAGCTATTTGCATCTACCACTTACTGCTGGTGACGGGCCTCTCAGGGAAACTATCCCGTTTTCAGCATTACCAGCAAGATGGCGCATTGAGAGCACGACGTCACATCGTCCCGAGGCGGCGGCGGGTGCTTTCTTTTCTCATGCGTACTTTGCCCCGCTAAGAGGGAGCAAGGTGGACGCTAACGCGCGCGCTTTTCTCGCGGCGGGGACAATTGTACGTCTAAGCTGGCCTTGGCAGTTCACCAGAAAGATTCTGTTGTAACCGGGTGCTAAAAGGTCACTTGAATGATTGCAGTCTTCGTTTGCAAAAAGGGCGCGCTTTTCAGACAAAGTGAAGTAACAACTGAGACACTTATTCGCATTCATCTGTATGTGTGAGCACATTTCGTGCGTAATTTGTGCACGAGAAACATGGGGCACGTTTCGACCTGCTTCCCATTCTGCGTGACCTTCCAATTTGTTTCTATCAAGTTGATTGCTTCGCCTTTGCGGCAAATCTGTGATTGTTTTTTGCGGTTCACTTAACTGAACTATCCGAGAGAAAACCGCGCGTGCAGAGCCCTACAAGAGAGCACAACTTCAAGAAGAGAGCCATAAACGCCTCCGGGCAAGTTGCTGGTTGAGGCAACCATGTTGGAAAAGTGTGTCCCCATGCTAAGTTGACATAACGTGAAATGTAACAGGTTTCTTACGTCCCTGAGAAAAAGAAACCGATTGACTACTTGTTTCAACACAAACGAGTCAAGCCCAGTCCTTCATTACGCTCTCTAACAGATAAATTTCTGCGACTTGATCGCTTCTCTGATAATGTTTGCACAAACACTGCAAACACACGGTGAAATTTTTGAATGTTAGCCCTTGAACGATGTAAGACTTGAGGGATTTACCAAATATTGCTTACTAAAAATATATTGCATAATACGGCATTTGAAAACATCAACCAATTCCAGCCGGTCACTCATTTACTCTCTTCCCATGGTATCCACTTCGCTCCTCCAGAACTAATCAATGTCTATACAGAATTCAAGGGGAGCACCCAAGTATTTCACCGGTGTGGTACCAAAACGTATGTTCACAAAAGTGTTAGGTGTTTCAGGCCAATCACCATGCCAAAAGCGAAGGTATCCGCTCCGGAGTACCGTGCTTGTTTGTTTTAACCTTCTCTTCCGGAATCGGTTCCTCTAATATTTGTTTCGCATTGTTGTCTAACTTTGGCATCAGCGTAAACCACTTTTTTTGAACCGTTCGACACCAACTGAGCAGGCGGCAAATATACCTCGGAAGTACTCGAAAAAAAAATGAGGGAGAAAGAAGAAGTGAATGGAAGAGGCCCGTAGCTTCATTTCGCTTTCTTAATTCAGTTATTATATTGTGTTCAGGATATTTTTACGGTGTTTGTGGTGGGTGGACTGTTTCCTGAGTGGCAGCTAAACATCGTTGAGTCAGAGTTTCACTACGCATCGCGATCACAATTGCCTCTTAGCGGGCCCGTGCCACATACCTGGCAAAGCCCGGGTATGGGGGACAACGAGATGCCACTAGCGCTAAGCGGAGCACCACTTATCCATTCCGCTCGACTTAAGTTGCTACAGGCTCAGCAACGATATCGACGTCCCATACAGAGAACAGCGAGGCCTCGCAGTGTAAGAAGA